AGTGAGCTCTACTGTGATGAAAACTAAGCTGGGTGATGTGATAGGGAGTGACCAGGAAACTTTAAGAGAGGTAGTTAGGAAAGAGTTCTTTGAGGAAGTAATTTAAAAACCACGGCATACATAACGGGAGAGAGTCAGATGTGTGTTCATTGGGGAAAGAGCATTTCAGGCAGAGGGAACCTAGAATAGCACCCCTAGGGTGAGAAAGAGCTTAGAGGGCTCAAGAGCTTGCTGTGTTCTTGATTGGGACTTACGGAGGCTGGATGAAGATAAGTGAGAAAGGTCTACAGGACAGGATCATCAGGCCTTCAGAACAAGGTAAGGAGTTTGGATTTTATCCCTGATTTTATGGGAAGCCATTGGGGGATTTTGATTAGGAGAATGGCAGGATCTGATTAGGTTTATAAAAGATCTCTATATAAGTCCATTCTGTTGCTTATAACAAAATACACAGAACTGAGTAATTGGTAAAGAAAATAAAATTTATTGCTTACAGTTTTGGAGGCCAGGAAGTCCATGGTCCACAGAACCCACATAGTGAGGGTCTTGGTGAAAGTGTTGCAGGGTATCACATTGCAAGATGGCAGAGGAGAGACAGTAACCTCCTCAGTCACTCTCTTTTCAAGGCCTTCAGAACCATGCCCCAGACCAACATTATTAATCCATTCACTATCGCATGGTCCTACAGTCCACTCCTCTCTTCAAGGCTCCACCTTTCAATCACCATAATAGGATTTCCCACCCCCTTAACAGTCACAGTAGGGACTAAGTTGCTAATACATAAAACTTGGGGGACACAATTCAAGCTTCAGTGAGTTTTAGGGGGACATAATTCAATCCACTGCAATCTCTCTGAATACCTGTTCGTGATGGATGGGTAAGAGTAGAAGCAGGGAAACCCATGGGAAGCTGTGGCTGGCTGTCCAGGTGGGAGAAGATAAAGACTCAGACCAGGGTGGTAGCTCTAGCTACAAACTTGCTGATGGATTAAAGGTGGAAAGGTGGGGAAAGATAGGATCAGAAATGACTCGTAAGTTTTAGGCTTTAGCAACTGAGAGATGTGTTTCCTGAGATGGGGAAAAGCAGAGGAGGGGCAGATTCGGGGGGAAATCAGTGTCTGTTTGGGACATATCAGGTTGTGATTCCTACTGGATAAATGTCAATAGTAAGATGTGCTAGCCTGGAGTTCAGGGGGAGGTCAGGAATAGAGATATACATGTGGGAGTTATCTAGGTACACTGCGATGGCATTTAGCCCTGGAATTGCCTCCAAAGTCTCGCATTCACCACTGTGCGTGGGCTATGCCACCCCTTGTCCAGGGTAAACTTGCCGAGACAGACTGCTTGCATCTTTACGCTTTCCCTTGCTAGACTTGGTTTTGCTGTTGAAGGTTTCTTTTAGTTTCTCAATGCAAAAGACAGTGGGAAGATAGCAAAAAGAAACATTTGCTGGGCGTGTAATTATGGCGATAAGAGTGCTTCTCGTTTATGTAGCTTTCAGCATTTTAGTCATCACCTCATTTACTAAAGCTAAAATCTGAGCTTAAAAGTGAGTGACCCAGGGCCGGCCTGTGGCTCACTCGGGAGAGTGCGGTGCTGATAGCACCAGGGCCACGGGTTCGGATCCCATATAGGGATGGCCGGTTTGCTCACTGGCTGAGCGTGGTGCTGACAACACCAAGCCAAGGGTTAAGATCCCCTTACCGGTCATCTTTAAAAAAAAAAAAAAAAAAAAGTGAGTGACCCATTTTAAAGATGGATTCTAGATTCACGGTGTGTTCCTTAAATATTATAAACCAATAATAAATTTATATTGATATTATAATATAAATATTAAAGCTAATGTAAGTTACATGAAGGAAAGTTCTTAGTACTACTGACCTTCCTGTTTTTTGGGGG